GGGCGGTTCGAGGGAGGCAGCTGATCCCTTCACTGCAGCAGCCTTCTCGGCTGGAGGTCTTCCGAGAAACTCTATCCCCCCCCCCTCCGGTGGGGGACATCCCAGCAATCACGAACGACATCCCAGCACCAAGGAGCTGCCCTGGCCCTACACGCACAAGAGATCAAGCAGGAGGAAAATCATGGCGGATGCCACATGCAGCCTCACACCCAGCACCACGCTGCCCCCACTAGCGGAGAGGATTTACCGCCTGCTGAATGATTTTTGGGCCAAACTCGCCCTCCGCAGGGACACCACCGAGGCGACGCTGCCTGCTAAGATCTCATGAGAGCCAGCATGGCAGACAGTTAGCCCTGGACGGGGCCATGAAGCAGCCCAAGTCGTGGGGAGGAGAGTGCTGGTTATCCGGTGAAAACATACACCTAGACGCCACATAACCAGTCCAGCGGACTACCGCTGCACCCTCAGGCACCAGCCTATTCAGAAGGTAACCCCTCCAGTCTCCTGGACGAAACCAAAGTCCACCACTCTACCGAAGAGATCGCGCCATACAGGGGGATTCCAAGAGCCTGTAACACTTCAGCAGAACTAACGCAACCGGCTCATGGGGGCGCAACAATAGGAGGGACCAGCACGGAGACACAGCCGGAGATCTGCAGGGCAGCTTAAATCATCCGATCAGACCTTACCTTCCTGTGGCATTCCCCACTGACAACCTCATTCTGGCCTACACTTACATGTTCCCGGATACCGGGGTGGGGTGAATGCCTCAATCTACGTGCAGGACTGATGTACCACTGCCAGTCACGACCATTAACCGCGGCCATGCTTCTCAGACCAACAGTTAATACGCTGCAGTCAGCAGATAACAGAAGGAAAACTCCTGAATTACGATCCTTTCACACAAGAGCTAGAAGTGGAAATTCTTTCACGTCAGACAAAAGAGAAGGAACCTGGGAAATTTGACCTTGTGTATCAGACCGAGGATGGAACAGACATTGTAGAATATACAGTAACTCAGGAAAGTAAGATCACAGAGAAGTGGAGCTTGTTGATTGAGCCGAGACTTATTGTGGAATATTCACCCGAAGGGCCTGGATCACAGGCAGCTAACATTGACCCCTGATTACTTTCCTATTATTAATCTGTTTTGGGGATTGTGACAATACGTCTCGGGCATGTTTTCTTATCGAACTGTTGAAGTTTTGTCCTCTAATGGGATCAGTGGCACTGATCTGGGTGGTGGCTTGATCTTTTGAGGACATGATCCAGCACAGTAAAATTACATTTATTATTTTAAATTTTTTGTTTGCCGCCGCCTATGTTTTGTTCTGTAAAGAAGCGGCAGCCTGTTAGTAGGGGTAGATTAAGGTGGTAATCCTCAATTACAAATCTAGAGAGAGAAGTAAGAATCTGACAAATTATTGAATAATGTCAACAAAATAAGAGGGGGGACTGGTTAGTTATCATTGGTTAAAATTGCATCACACTAATAATACATCAAATTGATCACCAAGGAACTGGATGCCTAATTTTAATTTCCAACCTCTTGGTTTTGCTTTTCTCATTGTTTTACGTGTATTAAAAGGACACTCTAGGCAACATGACTGCTCACTGCTAACACTTGCTATTGATCAATGTCTGTTCCGTCCAATGTGGACGGCATTGGTTGGCTGAGAGTGCTGAGCTAGTTTGCAAAGTGCTCTCACCCGGTCAATGTCGTCCAGGTTGAAAGACTTGATAATGTGGCTAAAATAGGTGGTTCCTGGGCCCTAAAGTTATTTCATCAAGAACGGATAAAATTGCCAGGAAGGATAAAAATAGGTAAAATAAAAAATGTATATAAAATACAATAAAAGAAAAATTGGTATAACTTAGGTGACCAAAAGACTTTTATTGCTAAAATACATAAATTAAAACCATAACACGTTTCACCATATGTGGCTTCTTCAAATGGAGTAAAAACAACAACTCGGCAAACATATGAGAACATAATAAGATTAAAATTGGCGCCTAAAATTCAATCAGCCAATGGGAGAATTGAATTTGGGAAAAATATCAAACATAAATAAAAACCATACAGTTAGATTATTACAAAGATACATGTGAATATAGCTTTAATTTTCGTTTAAAACGAGCATTAGATGTGTTGAAATTTGATGATAATAGTGGGACATGTGACCTATGAGTCACAGAAGTCCCAGGGAGTTATGGGTAGTGTAGTAGGTATTGGCTCCCTCCTATCCAACTTATCTGAATATATTGATATACACCTCCAATTTCCGTGAAACTAATGAAATCCTACCTAAAAGATTCTATGACACTGTCACGACACTGCTTAGTTGATTTGCCCTCGTGCAGTACTCACACTCACCACTGTTTCTGTTTGGCACTGTTCCTGATTTCTTTTCATTAAGCACTTCACCTGGTCCTTGTTTAGCACCTATTTAGTTTGGTTTCTCCCCTCACTCCTTGCCAGATCATTACCTTTTGTTTCCTGTTTCCCTGATCTCCTGTGTTCCTGGCTCCTGCCCACTGTGACTTGGTCCTGTGTCCTCCTGATCCTGCGTTACTGTGTTCTCCTGGTCCTTCGTTGCGGTGTCCTCTGATCCAGTGCTCTGGCTCCGTGGTCTTTGATTTACTACCAGCGATCCTGTCCCTGCAGCCTTGCTGATTTATTCGTTCTTGTTGTCACTACATTAGTCTTGTGACTTTGGATCTGTGCCCTACCTGATACCCGTGGTAGCTGCACAATCCTACCCTAATACCTAAGGACTGTTACGGTATATGTTGCCTGCACGATTTGTGCTTATTTTGATTTACAGTGTATATATTTTGTGGCCTTGTCTGTGTATGTATATATTTTGTTTTACTTTCTGCTTTGGTTCCCTGTAAATATATATTTCTTGATTTAACCTATTTCATTTGTGTCTTGGCACTTATTTCTTTGCTATAGTGGTTCCCACATTTAAAGGGACAGTGCTGCTCCAGGGCAGCACCCCTTCATGTCATTACAGACACCATTATGTTTTTTAAATAATTTTAACTGCCAACCGAATTTTAATTTTGTTACATGTGATGTACAGTCCCTTTACACTATTATTCCCCATCACATAGGATGTCAGGCAGTAAAAAATATTTTAACAAAAGAAAATCAAATCCCAAAAATCCAAATTGATTTTATACTAGAAGGTATCAACATTATTTTAAACAACAATTACTTTTGGTTTCTCAACACTTTTTATCTTCAAAAGAAAGGGACAGGACCAGGTTCCCCCAAGCTATGCCAACCTATTTATGGCTGATTGGGAGTCTGGTGCCATATGGGGAAGGCATGCTTGGCAGGTGAACCTGGTTACCTATTTTAGATACATAGATGACCTGTTTTTTTTTTTTTTTTTTATCTGGGAGGGCACAGAAGATGCACTTATCTCTTTTATAAACTATTTAAATGTCAATAATAGGGGTCATTATTTTATCTCATGAATTTAGCAAAACCTCCATCAATTTTTTAGACCTTAATATTTGTTTTCAAGACAACCAAATTCATACTAAAACACTCTTTAAAAAAGTATGTGTCAACACTACAATAGATAAATCTAGTTGTCACTACAAACCGTGGTTAGAAAGCGCTCCGAAGAGTCAATTTCTGTGTTTACGTAGAAATTGCTCTCAGTTACAAGATTTTAGCAAACAAGCCGAATTTTTGAAAGAAAAATTTATTGAAAAAATTACCCATCTACTGATCTTAACCCCTTAAGACCGGAGGGTGTACTATTACGCCCTATTTTAGGCGGCTCTAAACGCCGCCGGGCGTAATATTAAGCCCTCCGTTTTCTTCTTGCTCCCAGGGAGCCCCCCGCGGCGGATCCTCCGTCCTGCAGCCCCCCTGGCCATGTGAGAGTGAGGTCCTTGCGAGGACCTCACAATCACATGGCCGGGATAGCTGCCTGCTGTATTGCGTAGACTGATACTGATTAATGATATATATATATATATATTGTGATCCTTGTCACCAGGTAGCACGGTCCTCTAGGGCAAAAACATGCACAGTCCTTGAAATTGCATATACTCAGGCACTTTATTTGTAAATCCACACAGGATACAGCAGTTAAATGAAAACATAAATGTAACAGAAAACCCTATAAACAAAAACCTAGCTCGTCTGAGCACTAACTGACATAAGTTTCCCTATCTCTCAGGGTTAAACTAAACAATATTGCACCAACCTTTTAGATAGCAACACTCTGCTATCTAACCTGTTGCTTTCCTTTCTGCACTCCCAGTGCTCCAAGCCAGCCTTGCCCTGACTGCTTTCCTTTCTGCACTCCCAGTGCTCCAAGCCAGCCTTGCCCTGACTGCTTTCCTTTCCGCACTCCCAGTGCTCCAAGCCAGCCTTGCCCTGACTGCTTCCTTTCTGCACTCCCAGTGCCTAGTCTCTTTGACTCTATCTGGAGAGATCAGCCTCTCTCCTACCTGCTTCCTGGGAGGAAGCCAGCAATCCCTCTCCACCTGTCTAGCAGGGAGGAGTTTACAACAGCTCATTAACTGCAGCTGTGCAGTGGGTTGGAGACAGTCCAAAAAACCCTGGCCTGGATCTATGTCTCCCCAGAAAACCACTAAACTGTGGAGTGGAGCATTGGCCCACCCTTCTCTCCAAATGCTCCACCCCAGGGGCCCATAACTAAACAGTGTTTTGTGTTGTGCAACACACAAACTACACGTACTTCCCCTGGGGTTAAAAGGCCTAACTGCCTTCACTTTATCACATATCCTCCCCCCCAGCTCAGACCCATCGGGTCGAGCGACCTTAGAACACAAACCACGAATGTTCACGTCACCTGGGGCTGTACCAGCCCTGACTTGCTCCTCAGTTACAGAAAGTGGCCTATTGCAGATGGCTGCTACCTTGGTCCCTTGTAGTTTAAGGAACCCCCACCCAAGTGGATAACCCAAATAGTTAGCTGCCTCAAATCCTAGATAACACTTAGTGTTAGCAGTCAGACCGGCAGCCCTTACATTATTTACAACTAATTGGACCTTCATCAGGGGTACTTCCAAGTCCACCCTGTGAATCGCCACATCACCAAGGTAGGCAGCGGCATTCTCTCCGTGGGGCCAAAGTATCTTATTCATATGCTGAAAGGGGGCTGGTGCACTATGCCACCTGAATGGCAGTACTTTATGTTGCCATAACCCCTTGGGAGTAGAAAACGCTGTCCTTCCCTTTGCGGTCTCTGTCAGGGGAACCTGCCAATACCTTATGACCAGGTCCAAGGTACTCAGAAACCTGGCCTTACCTATACGCTCTTGTGTTTGAGCTGCATGTACTACAGGGCATTTAACTTTTACTACCTCTGTGGCAAACTCTACCTCTGCCATGGGGTATGTGCGGGTGTCACCATGTGTACCCACAATATCAAACACTTGTCTTAAATCACATTTTTCTGGCTGGAGCAGAACACTTTTCAAAGTAACCTCACTCCTTGAATCTGTCAATGTTTGTGCACTCTTCTCTACCACCATCACCACTTTTAGCTGTGCTGTAACACCACCAGTCACCATACACATCTTTAAGCAAGGCAATACTATCCTATGCAGAGCCCTTATTCCTATGTCACATTGTATTGGCTCTTCAGTCTCAGGACAGTTATATGCAATATGTCCTTGCATGTGGTAGTTGAAGCATCGGAGGTTTTTCTCAGTCTGGTCTCGTAGCCATAATGGGACTTTTGGGTACGTTCTGCCAGCATAGTTATATTGTCCCAGGCTCAGTATCAGGTTTGATAGTCTCTCAATGTCCGAGTTACTTTCAAATGCAAACTTTACAAAGGCTTTGCGTGTAATTAACTTTTCTATATCACTTATACGTCCAATTCCTTCATGAGCTAAATTTTCTGGGTGCTCAAACTCTTCAAGACCTGGTTCTGTCACCAGCTCATCCATCATCAGTTCTGCGAATTCCTGGGAGCCTTCATTGCTCCCTACGGCTAATGCTACAGGTCTCATCTCTATATCCTCAGGGGGTTGGCCAAGGAGGCTGTCTAGAGCACCCTCCTCCTGCATGAATGCAGCCCTTGATCCCAGCTCCATCCTATCATGCTCGGCCTGGCTTGGCATGGAGCGCTGTTCTACCTGAGGGCCAGACTCCTGGCTTAGTTCATCTCTCCTTTGCCTGGTTTCCTCCCCAGGGGTATCCTCCACTTGCTCGGCCTTGAGTGGCCACCTCTCAGTGTCAGAAATGCTTTCCTCTGGGCTGTCTGGCAGTCTCCCTGTTCCCTTGGGGGTGTCCAGAGACGCAGTCATGGCCTCTCGCTGGATCATGACAGCCCCGGTATCAAACAGCCGGTCAGGCAGTCCGAGTCCCGCCTTTAATTCCACGACTGTGTTCCCAGAGTCTGGCAGCTGTTCCAGGTAGTTAGTGCGCCCAGGCCTTGTAGCAGTAGTCTTTGCCAGCAGATCCAGTTCTATGGCTCCCAAAAAATCCTTCAAAGTCTTTGTAGCAATACCAGACGTGTTTGAAATATTTAATTCAGCTGCGCCAATGTCACCTGCTTTGTAACTTTCGCCTTGGTCGGGCTTAGGTGCGGACGTGCCCATCTTATCACCACAGCTTGGTTCTGTAACTGTCGCTCTCTCTTGGCTTAGATCAGAAGCAGCTACTTTGCCTTTCTTTTCTCTGACAAACTGTTC